TCCTAACCAGCTTACATTTTCATTACTGGCGGCCCAAATTTATATTTTAATACTTCTTTCCATCTCTGTCTGAAATATTCTTTGGAATATTTCCCCTTGGTTGTCACTAGATTAACTAATGAAGCACAAAATTTCACACGTAATCCTCTTGGGGCCAATTCTAAATAGTCAATTATCCTATTGAAAGATAATGATTACTAATAGCCAGTCTTTCATGATATCCTGTGACAGGGTCAACTAAATGAGGATTTTTACATTATTTAGATTTTAAAATATGTTATTAACACCATTGTTGAATCACTCTGCGGATCTGTGGTTTGGCGGATATTAACTGACTTAATATCATTACAATGTGTTTCCTGCAACTCATACGGAAAATTCAAAGTTCCTGATGGAAAATAAATATTAAAAAATCACTCACTAGTATCTTATACAACATAATTGAGAGCATTATGTGGTGAAAATTACAAAGGTTTGTAATCGCAAGACCAGGTATGAGTCTTGACCATGTGTTACTTTGGATATAGAGCTTAATTTCTCTCTATAGAAGTTTCTTCATCAATAAAATGAGTAAACTGGGCTAGATTATCTTCTTTTCAGTTCCAAATTTCTAGAAATACAGTATTTTGCCTAACCCAGGTGTGTTTTGGACTACTCATGAGTGATGAGACTTCCTGATAAAAACAATTTCATCTGTAATATGAACTGACCACATTGTTTGGCATATAGTAGGCAATCAATCAATATTTGTAAATGAATAAATAGATTCCAAGGTCATACTGTGTTATGGATTGAATTCTGTCCCCCAAAAATATGTGTTGTAAATCCTAACCTCTATGCCTGTGGTTATAATCGTATTTGAGAACGGATTGTCTTTATGTTAATGAGACAGGATTAGTGTTGGGTATATTTTAAGTCAACTCTTTTGAGATATAAAAGAGATTAAACAGGCTAGCAGAGCAGAGATGGGGTAAGATAGGTGCTAAGCCATATGGAGATCTCTAAGGAATAAGGAAGCAGAAGCAAAAGAGACAAGGACCTTCCTCCAGAGCAGACAGATAAAGGCTTCCCCTGGAGGA